GGAGAGGGGGAGGGGGGGGAGATTGCATGACAAGGAGATGAACAAAAGGAGGTGGAAGTGAAACGGAGGAATGAAGGAGAGGTTTTGGACAAAAGGGGAAATAAGAAAACAGTGACAGTAAAAAAAAACGAGGATCAGTGAAGGGGTCTCAGGTCAAAGGTTCATATATTTATATTTTTAATATTTATTTTAAACAAATAAAGTCAAAGTAAAATGAGTAGGGGGCGCTGTGACAGACTACATTTTATTTTATTTCTGTCCAAAGGCACCTGGACACAGGAGTCACGATCACAGTTACCTTAAATAAAAAAAGAAAAACCTCAGCTGTGTTGACGTGTATTCTGGAAATTTTAAATTTATAGGAAATGTGGGAATTTTTGTCCCTATAAATGACCCTGGATGGACGGGACAACTGTCCAGGTTTTAACTCGCTCTGGTCCAACACTGTCTCAACACCCCCTGGAATACACCGGGCTCGCGACCCCCATATTGAAGACCGTTTGTTTTGATACACAATCATAAATCACATGAAGAAAAGTCGTCCACAGACAGACAGACAGACGTCAGGACAGAGGACAGAGGACGGAGTGGAGTAACTCACTGTCTGCCTTGTGCGTCTTGTTGAAAACATTTCTCTCAAAGTTCTTCTGCTCCTTCATGGACGGGTACAGCTCCGGGTCGTAGTACTGGAACAGAGACATGTCCTCAGATTAATGTTGCATGGACACACACTGTACACACAGCCCTGCAGCACGAGGACGACAGACGACGTTCACTGAATAGTTCATGAAAAACAAAAGTCCACGCGTTGAGGTCACGGACAGACTGACCTTTGACAGGAGTCGGTTTCCATCGTTGTCCAGAATGAAGACAGCTTTGACTGTGTAGAGACTGGGTTCCTGTGGAGAAGTCAGAAAGACGGACGGAGACGGAGAGCGAACCTTAGTATTTCAGTTTTTGCTGAATCACCTCAGGGAGTCATCTCGGACACAACAGCACTCCTACAGGCTGATGAACACATCACACCTGTCAAATATTCACTTCATTAGTTTTTCCTCTCATTTTTGTTTTGATTTTCTGTTTTTCTCACACTTCAAACGGTGAGAGCAGCCCAGCAGTCCGACCCACGACCCAGCAGTCCGACCCACGACCCATGACCCAGCAGTCCGACCCACGACCCATGACCCAGCAGTCCGACCCACGACCAAGCAGTCTGACCCACTCAGACCTGGACCAACCCAACAGGCTGCAGCCCTCGGTTCTTTAAGCCGGTTTTAACATTTGTGCAGGAAACACTATTCCAGATGTGGAAATGACCAAATTATTTTTTTCCATTCAGCCCCACACACACACAGACACAGACACACACACTCTGTGTCTAGTTTTCCAGCCGTCCCTCGTTGTCGTGAGGTGTTTTTAGACCCGGGACAAAGTTCTGTTATGCACTGACTCTCATAGATTCACAGTCAGAGTGTATCACAGAACTTAGTCCAGGACTACACTGCAGTTATACCACCAGCTGACCACAGGTGGAGCTGTGCATCACATTAACAAAAACACTCACATTCACACCTGAGGTTAATTAAGACCAGAACTGTTTTTGTAACTCGAGTTAAAACCTAACAACAAACACGTGATTCCAGTCAAAGTATTTTTGATCATTTCCACACACGGACGTCTGTTACTGCACTGGTCCACGGGGAGTCTGGGATCCATGCTCTGGTGTACTGTCTACTCAACTGTACAATTCTCTCTCTCTCCACGTTAGTCACATGACCGCAGACTGGGCCTATCAGAGGTCGGTACAAGTCACACATGGGCCTCGAGCCGCTATTTGAATATATGCAGGTTTTTAGAGTTTACTCAATGTGTTTGTGGACTGAAGGGGAGACAACGACGGTCCAAGACTGACCAACGGAAAAACTGGTCCAACAACGACTGGTCCAAACGGTTCAGTACAGTAGACGAACGGGAGCAGAGAAAAACCAACAGGACTTATTTGCCGTCAGCCCAGATAATCCAGTCTTTCCACTGGATGTTCCATCCTGTCTGTACTGCCGTAGGGGAAAGTACTGCTAGTACTGAATATTTAATCCATTTTTTAAAAAAAAAAAAGAAAAGAAAAGACAATAATTACAGTATATAATAATATAATAACTTTAATAACCATAATCCTAAAGCAGAGGAGTTTAACTAGTCTGTTCTGTCCTTCTAGTCATGTAGCTACGTTACCATAACATTTATTGAATGATACATGTCTTACTATCATTATTATTGTTGTTATTATTATTAATATCATGGAGATCTCTGCTAAACTGCATTTTCTTATGGCTTCCAAAACTAGACTGTATCGTTACTAACAATAACTTTATTTCCACTGGTTAATTAAATTCAGTTTCAGTTCTTCATCTTCAGCGGAAATTAATTTAAAAAAAAACTGACTTTCCCTAGAACAATAAAACACTTTCCTCGTGACCTTATGACCTCAGGGTGTTCATCAGTGAGGCCCAGTTTTATTTTTATTTCTCAACATTATTAACAGATGTGGAGAGAAAAAAAAAAGACAGTTAGAAATTATGGAAATGTCTGGGCGTTAATCAGTGGTTTCAGTTTCGGTATTAACTGATGACACACACACACAAACAAAACCTTGACTGCAGGTGAAATTCATACTTAAATTACAATAAAAAAAACAATTTAAAAAAATCCTAAACCATTAAAAAATTTATTTAAAAAAAATCAAAACATTAAATTTGACTCCAGAAAAAGAAGTAAAATCTACAGTAACTAAAACAGGCTTTAGATGGCTTTTAATTTGAAAAACGTCTATAAATAAAGTTTGACTGAATGGAGAGATAGAGAGAGAGAGAGAGAGAGAGAGAGAGGGGGGGGGGGGGCGAGTGTGGGAGAGGGGGAGAGGGGGGGAGAGAGAGAGAGAGAGAGAGAGAGAGAATGGAGGACGTGGCACGTACTGTGCGCTACACGTCAACCAGTCTGAATCTGTGCACATGATGAATACAAGGAGCCAGAGCGTACAATACATCGACCCTCCTCACACACACTCTCACACACACACTCACAGTCTGTCCGGCTGTTTTTATCAAGTCACTAAAATGATTCGACTTCAACTCCAACAACTGTCTCAGTGGACCCGGACCAGGGTCAGGACCCGGACTGGTCCTGACAAAGTGTTCAAAACAAAAACTTCTCCACACTCACACACACACACACACCTGCGCGCACTCAATCACACTGATGAGCCACAGGTGATGATCCCTGCAGGATCTGCAGCTTTGGCTTACGTCGCCGCTGCCCTGTTGAGCCTCGCGCGTGTCCGTGCGTGTGCCCGCGCATGTAACAGCTGTGAGTCCACCACGTTGTTTGAATCGGAGTAAAACTTCACAGCCTCGTGTGTTGTTGCACCGACAACCAGCGCCGACCACCGCACTGTTTATACGACCTCTGTAAAAGTCTCTTTCTCTCTCTCTCTCTCTGTCTTTCTGTCGTTGTGTACGCGCGCGTGCATGCGCGCGTGTGTCAGTATTCATCAGGCCTGAACCACGGCCACGCTGTCAAATCAGACTCAAACTCACTTTGTCCAAACAAACAAAAGCTGCGTTGTCATTTAGTAACCTGTNCCAGACCCCCCCAAACCCCCTTCCCTCGTCGTTTTCCACACCGACCGAACTGGGCCAATGCAACAAATGTCTCGCTGCTTCACAAACGAACACAAATCTTTACCTACGGGCCGCGCCGCCGCACCGGCTGCAGGTCGAGGCTCTTACCAGTGACGTGGAGTCCATCTCGGCCGCCGTATGTGGCTCCTGCTCCGCTGTGCTCCGTGTGTTGACGTGGACAGATCTCAGCTGTCACACCGAGAGATCTCCTCTCTCTCTCCCCTCTCTCTCTCTCTCTCCTCTTTTTTTTTTTCCTCCCACTGAGGCGCGCCCCCGCTACGTCCAAAGCCCACCCTACACAGGATAAACGGGCTGGCCGGCTGGTGAAGGCGAGCGCGCTCCCGACACTTCTCTCCACCTCCTCTTCGATTTCTTTCAAAATAAAAGGCTCCTGTTGTACGTTCTCTGGTAAAAAATAAAAATAAAAATAAAAAATAAAAAGCTGTATGAAAAAAGTTTGGTGGCAAACTTTGACCAGGCAGTGGCCAGAAGTTAACTGGTAGAAAATATACGCAGTCTGGGACACTGGTGACGTCAGAACCAGAACTTAAAATATTGGTGTATTATATGGAACGTTTGTTTGAAACCATTGATTAACGAACGTTTGTGACGTCAAAGACGTCCTTTGATTAAATTAATTAATTCGTTTTACTTTATCAAACCCCCCAGTGTTCACACAGTAGCTTCGTCCCTGCCTCTAGCCGTACTTCCGCCTTTTTTCCCCCCCGCTACATTGCATGCTGGGAAACGCAGTTCGTGTTTCCCTCAGCGACAACAAGCATCATGGAAGGCGTACGGCCGCCACCTCTGCGCAGTCTGGATGATTTCCTCCTGAGTTCAGCGAGGTTCGCGGTGCCTGATGTTCGGGATCTGGACCGCTGGAACAACCGCGTTATCAACAACCTGCTCTACTACCAGAGCAACTACTTCCTGTCCGCGCTCGGGCTCCTGCTCTTAGTGGTGTAAGTTCTGTTGTTCTGACGTGTCCGTAACCGTTCGTGCCTATAGTTTCTCTCTGCCCACGTTTGTACAGATTCTGTTCGAGTTAAACACAGTTATTGTTTTTTTTTCTTTTTAGATTTTTTTTATATGATAATGATAATGGAGATGATGACGACGTGACGGTGTATTTTCCTCTGTCTCTAATGTAAACAGCAGGGGGCTGCAGAGTGCTGTTATTATTACCCGTTTACATATAGAGGTACAGAATATATCAGTGACGCAGGAATCAGATTTACAAATTTATTTTTATTCCAACTAATTGTGTCGGTTTCATTACAGCAGTGTTTCACTCTAAACACCCGTGTTTACATTGTTTTTTCCGGAAATTTGAATCAGTCAGACTTTTTTTTTTTTTTTTTTGCCGTTTACTACTTATCTAAAGGGAAACTCGCTAACGAAGCTACATCTACAGGTACTTCCGGCCCTTGCAGTTGTGTGTCGGAGCAGTGGTGGTCACCTCGTTGTTCCTTGGCTTCGTCTGGGCTGCGGAGAACCAAGCTCCCGTTCGCCGTTTCAGGAGAAAACACCCGTGCCTCTGCTTATTGGCCATCCTGGCTGTCAGTTACCTCCTCGTCTCTGTGTTGGGGGGCGTGGCCGTCTTCCTGTTTGGGATCGCCTTCCCTATATTGAGTAAGACAAACACACAGATGGAAGAGAGAAGATGTCAAAGATAGTTTCCTGTTGTGAGGTTTTATTCTGAAGAGTCAGCAGCAGATACCTGAGGGTACTTCCTCGTGGTGTCACCGTGGTGTTGTGAAGATAATGCCTTCCCATCATGCCCCCTGTCTGTGTGTTACTTCACAGCGGTCCTGGTGCACGCCTCGGTGCGACTGCGCAGCCTGAAGAACAAGATGGAGAACAAACTGGAGAGCATTGGTCTGAAGAGGACGCCCATGGGTCTCCTGCTGGAGTCCCTGGGCCAGGAGCAGGAGGCCGGCTCGTAGAGAGGAGGTAGAAGGAGAATGGGAAAGAGGAGGAGGAGGAGGAGGAGGAGGAGTGTGAGGAATACCATGGCTGCCAACGAGGGAAAAAATAAAAGTAGAAAGGTGGAGAAATGGATGTTCACTATAAGGAGTGTAAGAAAACCAGAGTCTTAGAACAAAAAAAGCTTTTTGTCTGGTTGATTTCATCATTGATGAGGTGAAGAACCTGAACATGCTCTTTTATTATTATTATTATTATTTTAAAGCATTCCTCATTAACCAAACCAACCTTGCACTTGAAGCACCTGTTGTTTACTTGATTATTTCCTGCCAAGTTCGACACTACATTCATTTCTATTTAACTGTATGAAGAAAGATTTTCGTAGCAGAGCACGTTTGTAGTGGCTAAGATTTATTTCTGCTAACACATTCCGACCCCAGCACTGGAAAAAAAAACTTTAATTTTTTCCTAGTTTCGACATAAAAGTGTGTGCTGGGTGAAAGGATCCCTGTTAAACTGGTTTAATCAGACTTTACTGGAATGATTCCAGTGGTGAAGTACAGAAGACAAAGTCTCTCTCCCGATTGGCTGCCCTGCATTACATCACATTCCTTCAAATTAAAAAAAAAAACAACGTCTACATACATTATTATAAGTGGTTTTGACAGAAACGTGTCAAAAATCAATACAGTTGTGATGTTGTCGGGTTTTTTTTATTACAATTACATTTCTTAGTTCTCCTAAAAACAATTCAAGTTGCCAAGCAAACACTAAACCTTCCCACAGAAACAACTCTCTCCCCCTCCCTCCCTCCCTCCCTCCCCACGTCACCCATCATGGAATATGCTTCTTCAAACCTATCATTTAAAATCACCACCATAAAGAAAAAAAACATAAATCATTTTTATTCTAAGCTGTGGGAATTGAACCCTCAATCGACGTTAATCTTTGACATTCAACTTCACCAGTGCAGTGTTTGTAAATGACTGACTTCCCTGCTCTGAGCTCGACTGAAACAAGAGACAAACAGAGACACTCCTGTGCTGTTGTTGGGGAAGGAGGATTTTTCAGATGCCTACAGTTATTTATGAGCCGTTCATTTATTGTCAATGCAAAGTATTTGTCCCACAGACTGTGTCTGTGCTGCACACAGGGACGGTTCACAGACTGTGGCTGTGTCAGTGCTGTTCCCTGTGGGGTAGAAGCTGCCTGGGGTGGCCTTTAAAGAACCACTGCTCTAATTCACAGCTTAACTCCACGATGAAGGAAAACGTTAGCTGTTCTCGACTGAATGTTGACCAGGAAGTTTTGAAAGTTTTTCTTAGAGAAACTCTTATCGTAAACAACCAAAATGAACGAACTGTTTTACCCTGATACAATTGAAAAGTGTTGTTTTTGTTGACGTGACTTTGGCGTTGCCTTATGTTTCACTTCTTTTTTTATTCACCAATGATGTGTCTTGTTCTGCTAAAAAGTGACAAAAATAAAACATTACATCACTTTCATAATGAAGTTTTCTAATTGTTTTCTATTTTCTAAGGATGTCCGATTTTAACTTTTTGCCGATGTCTGATATACTGATAATGTCCAAACAATTAATGTCCAACTCCGATATCAACAGTTACCTATATTTGCCCACAAAACTGAGGTAAACGTCCAGGACACTACACGCGGTTCCACCATATTTCGCGAAACCCAGGCATTGTGTTATCAGGTTTTCATTATCGGAGGAAAAACGATAACGATTCTTACAGATTTTACATAATTGTCCGATAATATCTGTTGGTCGATATTATTGCACATCCCTAATATTTTCTTGTCACTCAAAATATATTGTTTTTTCAAAAAAAACTTTTTTTTTAATTTTTTCAAAAAAAAAAAAAAAAATTTAATTTTTTTTCAAAAAAAGAATTTCTAAAAATTTTTCCAAAACATGTATACAAATTTTTTTTTTCCCTCAAAGTACAGGCAGGATGGAACAGCTGGAGAAAAGTGTCAGGAGTGATCTGTGACAGAAGAGTGTCAGCTGAGCTGAAGGGAAAGGTTTAGGTTTACATGGCTGGTCTCACCACCAGGATGGTGGTGAGAAAAAAAATTTTTTTTTGAAAAAATTAAAAAAAAATTTTTTTGAAAAAATTTTAAAAAAAAAAAATTTTTTTTTGAAAAAATTAAAAAAAATTTTTTTTTGAAAAAATTAAAAAAAAAATGTTTTTAAAAATTAAAAAAAAATTTTTTTGAAAAAATTTTAAAAAAAAAAAATTTTTTTTTAATTTTTAAAAACATTTTTTTTTTAATTTTTTCAAAAAAATTTTTTTAAATTTTTTTCAAAAAAAAAAAAAATTTTTTTTTTAATTTTTTCAAAAAAAAATTTTTAATTTTTTCATAAAATTTTTTTTTTAATTTTTTCAAAAAAAAAAAAAATTTTTTATTTTTTTTCAAAAAAAATTTCTAAACATTTTTCCAAAACATGTATACAAATTTTTTTTTTCCCTCTGAGTACAGGCAGTATGGAACAGCTGGAGAAAATTACATTATAATATACTGTATTTCTAGATCCTTCATTAAAGATAAACAAAAACTTGGAAACCAACGTGTTTGCGTCTAGTTGGGTTTCCCCTTTAGTGGGCGTGGTTATTTACGTCACGACGCTGCCTCTTTAAATGTCCCTCCTTCCAGCGAGGAAGACAAACAGAAGCCGCGACACAGTTACTTGTACACGGGTAGAAGGAAGCGACATAAACCGCTGAAGTCTGAACTACTGCGCTGTGGTAAGAACACGACATCGTTTATGAACTTTGTTATTAAAGGTGTTTAACTTTATATGTTTTGATCGAAGACGTTCGTGTTTTGTTCGTTGTTTGTGTCCGTTTGACTCGTTGTTTCTCAGTGTCGTCACTAAAATATTCCTTTGTGACCGATTTACTGCCCGTGTTTTTATGATACACCGATGCTGTCTGAGGGCAAGGGACATGTGATTTTATCACGTCACGCTCTGAAGGAACTTTGTGCTGGATTGGACACCAGGTAGAACGAGGACATGAGCAGGAACTCGGTGTTCCCCAACTTCAACTGACGTCCAAACACGCTATCACGGACCGATCTACCAGACCGAACCTCTTTTAGGATGTTAAAGTTCCCTGTAAAAAATAAAAGTCCCTGACTTTTCATTTTCACATAGGCTTTCGGTTTCATCCATGTCACGTCATTAAATTCGAGATTAAACTTGAATTAAAATCAATTTTTACCGTTAAATATATTAGTTATTCTTATATTTAGTTACACTGTTGTAACTACTGTGTAACATCGATGCTAACGTTTGTCTGAATATATTGCACTAATGAAAAATAATCCAAAGGATTCAAATATTATACAGTATAGAATATTAATATATAATAATCTATAAAAAAAATCTTAGAATTATTTTGAAGGGCATGACGTCATCATGAACTCATTTGACTGACAACGTTTGTCCACAAATCAATGAACAACAGTTCTATTGTATACAATAGATACAGATACACCTCAAATCCCAGAGAATCATTCCAATTCCAACCTATATTTTTAAGGACCAGCGTCAGTATTTTTTTTTTTTTTTTTTTTTAACCCTAACAAAGCAAAACGGGACAAACAATAGCTGCGATGACTCACTGACCCGTCATTGTTTCTCGGTGTTCAAACATGCAGAGTGAGGATTTATGGAAATCTGCAGCAAACAGGGCAGGTAACACTGTGGTTGCTACAACAACCTAACGCCGACCGCCTGTCCAGTTATTATAAGGTCACCTACAGTATCCACCCACTTCAGTCAGACTACACTCGCACAGTAACCTCCAACTGACACACCGTAAGGGGTGTTGTAAATTTCAATTTTTTTTTTCTATAAAACTGAAAACATCTTCTCCTGCCATGTAACTCTTTCAGAAGGGAGGAGACCAGGAGGGGGGGAGGGGGGGGGTTCTCCATTCTCCATGTGAACACTGGATTACATCATGTGGCAGCAGTGACTAATCAGAGGCTGTGCTGTGCAGCTGGCAGCTGGTTACCAAACGCTTTTTCTAGAAGTAGGTCGAAGTTTCAGAGAGTGGAACTACGAGTCGGCTCAGTCCTGTCTGCGTTCCTCAGTCCGTCTGCGCGTCTGCTCTTCTTATCTGACACAAAAACACAGTCCAATGTCTAAATACTGCTGCAGCCAGTGTGTACGGCAGGTCACACTAACACAGTGGTTCCCAAAGTGGAGGGCGGGTCCCCCAGGGGAGCACAGAGCTCTTGTGGCGAGGGACATAATAAGGCACTGTCAATTTAAATTTGCTCCGTTTGTGCCTCAGAGGGCAGGACAGGAGCTGATTGGTTCATTCAGTTTCTTCCTTTAATAACAAGTTTTGTAGAGATTTTGTGATTTTTCTAAAAATTTGTCAATGTGTAGGAAGAATAGCTCTATCTACAAAAAGGGGGCGCTACAGAAAAGGTTTTAATTTGTCATTACTTTAAATTAAGTGTGTTTCGTCGCTGACAGACTTTGTTGTCTGTGTCCCGCAGGACGACTTTGTGAAGACCAGGACACTTTGGATGAGACCGTGAGAACAAGAACCATCTTTGATCTGGTCTTTCCAGAAAATACTAATTCAGTTCTTTAAAGACATCAAAGGAATAACTGTCGTCAGTGGAACAAACGTGTTCCACTTCTTTGCTCGATAGACGTTTGGACGTTACACTTTCTACATTCTCCGATCGACCAGACGCTCACTGTACGTGGAGGAGAGTGGACTGAACAGAATCCAAGACCGTTTGGTCCCATGGTCCTTTGTCCCGTGAGACATCAAAGACCATGCTGCACCTGAAGAAGTACTTCACAGAGGGCCTCATCCAGCTGGCCATCCTGCTGAGTCTCTGTGGGGTGAGGGTGGATGTGGGGCTGGAGCCTTACCTGCCCCCCTCCTGGTACGACGCCATCATGGGTCCAACCTCTGCTTTGACTCAGACGCAGTTCCACAACCTACGCAACCGACTGGACGAGGGCAGCGACCTGCACCTCAAGAACGTGGACCTCGACAAGTTCTTCACCACACGAAGGTTGTTGGGCTGGGTCCGCTCGCTGGACCGACTACAGGTAGGACACGCCCTCCCGCTCCAGTCACATGCGTCCACTTCGTCGGAGTTTAGTCGCTCACCGTGTCGCCGTTAAACGTGTCCCCACAGGTTCCTCAGGCCGAGGTGGAGACATGGCTGGTGCAGCGAGAACCAGATCCTCTTCCGTTGGCACGCCCGGAGCAGAGCCCTCTGCTGGAGAGAAATACCAACGGGATGGAGAGGGATCGAGGCGAACCACTCCTGGAGCACACACCTCAGTTTGGCAACGTGCAGGAAGAAGTGGAGGACGAGGACAAAGAGGTAAGAGATGTTCAGGGACCGTCCCTCTCCCTCAGATGTTCGTTTCTCAGCTGATGCTAACGCAGTGCTGCTACTATAATAATAATAATAATAATAATAATAATAATAATAACGATACCATGAGCTTACAACGTAATATTTAAGCTCAACTGCAACTGCCTGGGTCTGAAGACCAAAGTGGGCGGGGCCACTGGTGTCGTCATAGTATCATTACAGTCCATTTTCCCTGCACACACACACACACACACACTGCTTCAACAACCAACACTAAAGAGCTAATGCTGTTTAAAGCATGTGTTTCAACAAATTAAAAAAAAAAAAAAAAAGGAACCACGTGTTCGAAGCCAACTGTCCGACAAAAAACAACCCCCAGGGAGTTAAAAATAACCGCTGCTTTCATTCTGAACCATGACTATAAATAAATACATCGTTTCATCATCAATGTAACTGAACTGGAATCAAACCCTTGACACAGCTGTGTCTTCCTCTGCTGCAACACTGATAAAAAACAAACTGTTTGACATTAACATGAGTCAGAGTCGGAATCAACGATGATTTAACCAAACATTCAACAGATTCAGAGATAAAAAAAAAAAAGAAGTCAGTCGTACGTATGAGGCCACACTCCCCCCCCCCCCCCTCCCCCCCCCCCCCCCCCCCCCCCCCCCTC